TCAGTGTGATTTGACTCCCCCCCCCTCCCTTATTAAACATGTCATCTCTCCCCTTTCTTCTGATTTTCTTCGTTGTTGTTGTTGTTGATGTTGTAGTTGTCGTTGTCGTTGTTGTTGTTGTTGTTGTTGTTGTTGTATATTAATCTCTATAGTAACACATCTAACCTTCGGCACTTATATGGCCTATTAAAATTTTGTGTTGCAAGTGCCGTAAAACGCTTACTAAAACTGAACTAGAGATTTCACAGCCAACATTTGCTGGAAATCGATATGAGCTAAATCCAAGTTTTGTTAAAATACAAATGAATAATTATGTTCTTTGTTTTTCTTCTGTTTAAATTTCCTTATTGTTTATAGCAGTTGGTTTTGACGTATTTCCTTTTTAGTGATGAATGTAGAGCATTGTCAAATACGAGCCTGCTTTGGATTTGGAGTACAAGTTCACTCCGCACTACTGTATTGGTAAATAATACACTACTTTCTAACAGATAATCAACATCCTTTTCCTCCTCTTACTCCTCCCCTTCAACATCATATAGCATCATCATCATCCTCATCATCATCATCCTCATCATCATCATCATCATCATCATCATCATCATCACCATAACCACCACCACCTCTACCACTCCACCACCACCACCACCATCATCCCACATAACTCCTCATCACAACAACAACCACCTGACCACAACAACCACCATCTGACCACAACAACCACCATCTGACCACCACGACCACCAGTCAGGAACTAGTCCGGTTCGTGTCCCTGGTAACCACCACCCTGAGAGCCTGGTCTCGCCCGCTGATTGGCTGATGACGTCGCCTGAGAGCGCCTCGCTCGGCTGGCTGCTCACTGCTCACTCACTCACGGTAGTGTCCGCGACACTCACTGTCGTCTCCTGGCCTGGCCTGACACTGGGGAACAACGGCTTCCCAGTAGATTTTGTGCTGGGCGGGAAACGATTCACGAAACCCAATTGTAAATCTGGATATCCAGTTCTTGCGTCTGAGTTATAAAGTACAACTACAGACTTCAACATAATTTAAGGACCACCTTGACAAATAGCCCTGATTTTTTTAAATCGGAAAAAGAAAGTTTCATTTTGTTTTTTGCTCTGAAAGTGTTAATGGGTTGTCAGTGCGTACTGCAATGCCTCCTGAAGGGGCATAAACCACCATGTGCAGCACGGAAATTCACGAACATTTTAGCCGAATTTGCAAGTGGCTCTTAACTTATGTTGAAGTCTGTAAGTGCAAGTGGTTGGCGGGTAATAAAGTGTGGTTTTCTCCTTTTTTCCTATCAAACATATTATATTGTCCTTATCTTTCCTCCTTTTTTACGTTTGTTTCTCTCGTGTAACATCTCTAATCTTCGGTGCTTTTATGACCTTATTGTGATACAAGTGGCGTAAAACTCTTACTAACATTGAAGCAAGACCCAATCCGCTTTGACTTACTTTTCGACCTGCTTTCTATATGCAGATTTATGTATTTTGTGTTTCCGCCCAAGCACTATTTTCAAACATGTATCTGACGGCTAACACATTTTGCAACAGTGATAAATGGCGGAAAAAGGGAGAAAAAGAAGGGGCGGGGCGAGGGAGGGTGCAATGGGCTAGTATGAAGGAAAAAACCCCAGACCAATCAGAAATTCCCGAGAGCTAAACTTGCTTTTTAAACTACTTTTAAATCTAAATCAACCAACATCGAGTTTAGTGGGAAGGAGTGATTAACCTGCACCTTTAGTTGCGCCCTCATTTGACTTTATACAGTTGCAAGCGCAGCTCAACTTTTACCAAACTGAAACGGATATCCAGTTAATGAAAAATCTAAGTCTACACCCAGCACTACTAGCTAGCAAGCTCGCCAGCTATTACCCTAGCAGTAGTAGCAGAAGCAAGCAGCGTTCCTCGGCTGATCGTGTTCGATCCGCGGTCCAGAAGTAACAAAATCGATTCCCTTCCTCTTTCTCTGCTCGGGCGTGCTACCAATATCTTTGTGTGGTGTAGGAGTAGCGCCCGCCGTGTCCCATCCAGTCCTTTTCACCACTGCTAATGTTTTTCCGCTTTCTTGTTCCCTTTCTTGTGTGTAGAAACAGCAGTCTGTGGTCTCACGTTTATACGTTTTCCTGCTGAAATCCATTACATTCTTTCTCTTTTGATTTCTGCCAACGAAGTTACGTCTCTTCGTAATTTTTCATACTTCTCACCATTTTTATATGTACTCTCTCTCTCTCTCTCACACACACACACACACACCCACCCA